TATATATATATTTACTCAGTGGATCAAATGTTTCGTTATCTGTATGAAAAAAAAAACCGCAGCTACACACACACACGTGTGCTTTGTTGGTCGTCGTCATGGGGAATAACTATTTGACCTAGCTCTACCATCGTGCTCCAGTAGCGCTTGCTTTTAGATAGCACTGGAAAAAAAAAAAAAAAATAAATAAAAGAACTATTATCGTGTTTGCCAACTTTCTCTTTGTCGCCCCGGACATTCCGTGCCCGATGGGTTCGGGAGAGACATTATACACGTGTCTCTAAAACTGTCCATCCCTAGCGAACCGTCTTTGGGACCCCACGTGCACTCAAGGGCCCTTCGCTCTCCCGTAGTTTTTCCCCTTCTCTTAACCTCCATCGTTTGTCTGGAGACGGAAGTTCGCACGAGTGTTGGAGAAAGCGCTCGTGCGGGACTTACCTCTCGAAGCTCGACGCCAGCACGCGAAGGTCGAGCCCAAGGATACACAGGCCGATGGAAGCCGCGAGCGGGTCCTGGGACGTCAAGGTACAACTTATAGGAGGAGAGACGGCCCACGCGACAATGTTATACGTATACTGAGTTCCCTCTTCCTCCGGCCCCTGCGGCGGCTTTTCGATTTTATACATATACAAGCACGTGGTGGTGGCGACAGTACGACTAAGACGGAGCCGGGAAACGATTCGCCTAATGGGTATCGAAAACTATCTACGTTTGTTGGTAATTTACGTGGGTTTATCAAAGCAATAGATAAAAACGGGCACTCTCATTGGCCAGTCACTTTGATGTTAATTATTGAAAATCCAACCAGATGTTGGGATTAATTGTCCGAGGTTCAAAGGTTCTTTTGCACGTTAAACGTATAAATGGGTCATTGCATTGCTCGTTTCTTATCATACGCTTACATTTTCTCGTCTCGACAGTTTTTTCATCAATTTAGTTATCTGCATCCTACGTGTTTTTTCAAGCTATACGCTAATCTTTGGATTACAGTTTTTTTTTTTTTTTCATCCAGTTTTATGTAATATGATGAAATCAACATTATTTGAAGATCCCAGCTATAGGCTCTATGTAATAGTTCGTAACAGTATATACACTGCTTATTTTATTAAAACTTGACTGATTCAACGGCTATTAACAAAAAGAAGCTATAAATAACGCGACACCGTATACCTCACTCCAAATTAATTTTCCGGTTAAAGAGATTAAAATCGTTTCTCGTTTTTCTCAAGCTATTGTGTGCCAAGTATTGCACGCAATGACGAGGAGGCCAAATGTATCGCTTAAATGTAAAACAGAGTGTCAACCTTCGACCGAACGACGGAGCGAAACCGGCATCATAATACAAGTGACCTGCACGTGACTTGTAAAAAAAAAAAAAAAAAAAAAAAATAGTTAGCCACGTGTAAAGAAAGGCTTTTTTTTACTCAATTGAATACCATCCAAAAAAGCAAATTATAATTTAGGGGCTTCCTATTGGACGCATCGACTCGCTTGCATAATCGCCCGCCTCCTATTTAGGTATGCTTCTCGCGTCACGTGGAACGAGATACACATAATTTTAGCGCTCCGAGAAATATCAAGATTCGGTGGCGAAAACCGCAGCTGCGCTGCCCAAAAGATAGTTACTATCCCAAAACGAAAGAATTGCGTTATCTTTTTTGCATTGCGTAATGCGATTAGTGATGGCTCTATAGTTTTTTGGAACCGCTGAGTATACTGAATGTATCGGGCAGTTTCTAAACAAACCGATTCAGATAAAATTGTACCAAAGTATGGGTAACACCAAAATTTCCTTTTTACTCGTTCGCAGTTTGCAGTAACGAAATCCGGCATCCAAGACCTCAGCGCGTTCAAGCCGAGCTGCAAGCTCTCCCGTTCATATTTCGGCCCCTCGAGCCTAAAAAAAACCCCAAGTGTCTCTGTTCCCTATAATTGAAAACCCTTGCCTCCGCCTAATTTACGTTGCTCTATAGCTTTGCTTCACGCGAGTGAGAAAGAAAAAAGAAAAAAAAAAAAAAAAAAAACGAAACAACGCAAGGACGTCAGTTAAGATGACTAACGCCTCTGCAGAGCTGCAGTTTCAGCGCTATACAATAACTCCAGATATAGGGGAGTATTAACGATCGAAAAAGCACATGCCTCCTATACAACTAAACGGCAATCTCTCGATATCTCCTACGCCTCGTGTATATATAAGATTTGAGAGTAGTGTCGCGTAGGGAAGGGCGCAAGCGCACAAACTACCGTGCGGGTATACATATTGTTGTACTTGCAGCGTGGACTGCTTCATAATTTACGAGTCGAGTGTGGCAAAAAACAAAAAAATAAAGGGTTGGTGTCACTGTGCGTGAAAGGAAAAAAAAAAAAAAGAGTCCCCTACCAGACAGGGATTCCGGGACGCGATTCCGGCGAGCCTCCACAGCTGCTGGACCCTTGGCTTCGCTGACATACTTATAGTTCCGGAAAAACTACACCCCAAGCACGACCACACGAGAGCTGCCACCGCTCCTTTTCCACGCCCTACCGCTCGATCGTGGAATTTTCCATGGTCCACCCTCGCGGCTCTGTCCTGTCACCAAAGCTCGGCGCGATAGCTTTTTTTTTTTTTTTTTTTTCCACCTCGAGCCTCGAGATGCGCAACTTTGGCCGTCTCTTTAGGTGGCGTTCCTATACAGAACAGCGCGAGCTTTCGCGGATACGTCCCGACGTTAACTGACAGAGAGATTGCCGAGCTCGTGTGTGTACGCGGTTGTACCTACGACCACCCGTGCGTGGTGGACATCTGCGCCGGCGACTCGGAAGAGAGCAGAGCCCTGCAGAACCAGTCGCTGCGAATGTAATACGTGCACACACACATTATTGTGAGCTTTGGTTGACCGGCTTTGTTGCGACGGTAACCGTATACGGGCCAACCGATGGCTAATCCACCCTATAGACCATGGTAATACCGTTAGTTGTCGGTTGGGGCTCTCGTTTCTCTGGTTGATGATCAGTACTGTTTTACTCGCGCCCGATCGACCACTTTTTTCGCCGATTCCTCTCTGTCTGTCTGGCACGACTTGATTTTTTTTTTTTTTTTTTCTGCGGCCAATCTCTCTAATATACCTCTCGGTAACGATTGCCTTGGGCTTTTACTCGAGCAACATGGGGAATATCGATTAATTTATTGTTTTTTTTTTTTTTTCTCTCAGTATACGATTCCGATACGTAAACAAGATATTTCATCGCGTACGGGAAAATTCAAAGGCTTACAAAAAAATACGCGTATATATTATATACGCACGTTTCTAACTCGAATTCTTAAATACGTGTATAGCCGCGGCCAAGCTGTTTTACATAATTTCGGATGATTTCCCTGAAATTTCCTTACCTCATTTACGTAACCAGTTTTTCGATACTTTTGGGCTCTGTTACCTTACACCGCGACTCTATACTATATTAGGTACTCTCGGGAGAGAGGATTAGTATTATCATCTCGTCAGTCCGAAATGTTCATCGAAATCTAACGCAGGTACTTAAAGCCACTAATTTTCTTTTTTTTTTTTTTAATACTTTGATCTAAATTAACGTTGCACGATATGTGAATTACGAAAAAAAAAAAAAAAAAAAAAAAAAAAAAAAAAAAAAAAAAAAAAAAAAAAAAA